ACATTGCACAAAATTGAGCAGGAACTGGGTACTGAAATTCAACCAATACCGAAACAAATTGATCCATCGCTGTACGTTGCCGAATATCAGATTGGTGAAAAAGATGGTAGTGATGAAAACACGAATATAGAAAAAAATAATGAAACGGGTTTCATTAATGAAAATAAACAAGGCCTTATGAGATCTCAAACATCGCAAGAACAATATCAACACATGACAGCGAATGCTTAATTTTAATCAATAAAATCCAAAAAGCCAGCCATATTTATGTTTGTATATTTTTTCTGAGTTTTTGCTTTTTCAAGCATCAGCGTTATGTGATGAACACCTGATGTTTTTCTATTCTATCTTTACTGTGAGTATGGATCTTGAACATTCATAAGACAAGTGGTTATTGTTTTCTTATTTTTTTCCGTTGTGGACTTATCTAAGAATAAGCAGGCTTTTTTATGTTCAAATATCCTACGTTCTCAGGAGTTTGTTTTCTCTCTGCTGTGTGTCTATGTAGACAGCTTAATGATATTTTGGAAGTTAAATCGACACAGATACTGGATTCTTTTTTAAATTATTTTTACTAAGAATATAAATTTTGTTTTGTAAATCGCACGTTGAAAAGAACCATGATAAAATATTTTGATGTTAAGTTTTCAATAATGTGACGAACGTTAGACGAAAACACTGTAAGAGTAAAGAAAAGTAGACGAAGCCGTTTTACTAATAAAATAATAATAGCAATGGTCACAAGCATTGTTTTATTTTTTTAATATTTATAGGCGGCAATGTATTTGACGTTTAGGAGATGTCTGAAGCACTTTTTGCTTCTATAGTTTTAGCGAGAAAAACTGACTGAAAGAAAGAGAAACATCAATAATAAAGCGAGACAGTATATAATATTTTTAGTTAAAGGATGCTGACTGTTTTCGTAATCGCTTAATTAGTCGGTGTAGATATTCGAGGGGTCTATGCGATCTCGCGGAAAAAACCTCCACTAATTTCAGCGTATATAATCTCCACTGCTTCATGTAGAGTTTTATTATGATCGTAGTATGGTAGATATTTGCATAAGGTAAATTAGACTTTAACACAATTGCTTTTCTTTATTAGGCTTTGGCATTATCATATGAAGTACAGCGGTTCTTTTTTATGTGAAGGTAACAAAAAACGAGAAACCTCTTTTCGTACATATCTTTTGCTTGGTCTCATATGTGGTAAATCTGTTCTGTTATTTTCATCCATTAAGTTATGTCTGCTATATTCTGTTCCAGTCAGGTGTCAGCGATGTTCATAAAAGATATATCTCGTGTGAAAAGAGATATCTCGTTATTTGTTAGGTTCCTAATATAAAAAATGCAGTTTTGAATATAAATTAACTTTCTTAACCAAATTGAGGCAATAGATTGATGACATCAATCTCAATCGTCGCTTTACTGAAAAATGGTTATGTTCAAACTCTTAGTTCTCTTTAATCTTGATCTATTTTTTTACATTTTAGAGATATCTGATAATTAAATATTCACATTCTAAAACGCTAACTTGTTTTGAAATAATCTTTTATTGTATTTCTATTATTTGGTTACATCTACGAGTACCTATATACTGCCTTTTAATTGTATTAAAATCCATTGATTTTTTGTTTTCATTTCCCCACATATCGAGCTAAGTGTAAAAAGCTTTATTTGTACATAATTTCGAAAAGAAATGATCACAACCAATCCTGTCAGTACTTCAAAACTACATTCGCCTTCACCCTATTCCTCGACGAATTCATTGGCGACAATGAATAATTATAATACCAACAATACAGCCGCTGACGATGTAATTGGCAATATTACAAGCCCAACTACGTCATCACCTACTCCAAAAGATGATCTAAATTGGAAATCAAAACTGAACTTACCTGAAAAAGATAATCGAGCTAGAACGAGTGATGTGACCGGCACAAGTGGCCATGACTTTGAAGACTACTGTTTGAAACGTGA